GGGATGGAAATGCTAAAGGAGACGATTGGTGTAAAACCTGGCGTTCTGTCAATTACAGAACGCTCCAGAAGATGTCAAGTAAGGCAGTGCTTCACTTTTGAGTACTGGGCGTCCTAATTTTGGTTTCCACGCATCACAGCTCCTGTGACAGTTCCTCTCAGCATCTCACAAGCCATGCTCCTTTCTCCCAGCACCCAGCTGAAGGACTCTGCACTTCCACTGTAGGATGTCAGGGGGCTTGTGGGTAGGACTAGTGAATCTAATGGGAATGTACAGATCTTGGAGCTCACTCAGTGAATAATATTGGCGTGCTTGGGGGAGGAGAAGTCTGTGAGACAGAGTGACGCATTACAGCTAGTACACAGCTATCGTGGAGTAAAATCTAAACGAAGCCACTGTGTTTTGTTTTCAGCCATACAGATGCAAGATTCTTGGCATTACAAGAAAATGTGTTCGCATAGTGTGCTGCTTCCATTCATATGCTGCCTTTGTGGCTTGTAGTTGCACCATCTTCTGTATTTTGTTTGAGGGAGCCAAATTGGCTAGGAGAAAAGCCTAAATCTTGGCAGAGAAAAACCATATTTCAGAACGTTCCCCTCCATGCTTTCTGAGAGAAGCGTCCTTCCTTCTCCCTGCCTCAGCACACAGGGAGCGGGCAGTATGGCTGCATAGTGTTGGTGGACATTTTGCATTCTATTTTTCTATTGCTGATTTTTGTTCAAAAAAATCACAAGATGATTTCGGATAATTGTGTTGATTCCAGAAGGCATCTTATATTTATTTTATATTTGGATCCAAAAGCAAGCAAGCAATTAGGCCGTGAGCTGGTGTTGGAATCATTCCATACACAACCCCTAGTTCTCTCAGAACAGAACCCAACATGACTTGTTTTCAACAGGAAGGCTTTAGGAACACTCAGTATCTCCTGTGTTCATGTAGATAAAGGTCAGAATGACAGAAGTACAGAGCCTCTGATCTGCTGCTCCCGTTAGTGGCACAGAGCCTCTGATGGGCTCCTCCCATTAGTGGCACAGAGCCTCTGATTGGCTCCTCCCATTAGTGGCACAGAGCCTCTGATGGGCTCCTCCCATTAGTGGCACAGAGCCTCTGATTGGCTCCTCCCATTAGTGGCACAGAACCTCTGTGCCAAACTTCAGCAGCTTTTCAGTAATCCACTGATGGTTTTGAGTTAAACTGCCTCAGAAAAGCTGCACTGTCATCATCAAATGCTGGATTAAATCATCTGACTCAAATATGAAGAAGTCTGTGCTTTGAGCCTTTTTTTTTTTTTTGAGGAGAACAATTTTTGACCTAGAAAAATGTTGCTTTATGTTCGTCTTTAAGCATCTCAAACTCTAATATGAGACAGGACTTATTTCCCTTTGTTGACACTCATTTATGATAACAGCATTTCAGAGTTATTGGAATAATTAAGGTAACTTAGGTGCACGTAAGCTCAAGGTTATCGTTACCACATGGGACAAGCCTGTGTGTATCATAGTTGTTAGCTGCACCCAATCCTAGTGATTGTGTATAAGGAAGAGAATTGTGTTCTTGGTCTCCCAGTTGCCAGTGGGAGTAGTAGGCAGGCAAGAAGAATGATGGGTAGAACTGTTGCGATCATAAACACGCATAAAATAAGTACATTAGTGCCTGCCCAGCTCCAGGTCAATGGAATATGTCTTTTCTAGAAACTCACATCTGAGTGGCAAAGTCCTGTCACTGAGACTTACACCTAAGAATAACAAAGTCAACTCTCAGCAATGGTAGAAGACTATACAGGCTTCTGAGGAGCAGCTGCCTGCTCTCTGGTAGCGTGGGTCCTTTGGCAGAGGACTCCTGCCTATCTGGTCCATGGTTAGTTAAGCCAGAACTGATATTAACCATGGCAAGCATTATTGGTAATGAAGTCTTTGGTAGACACTGGTAGACTGACTATATGCACTGCTCTCTGTCCTGCATTGTCGGAGACCTCCAGGAGCTGCGGTCTGAGCTAGGGAGAGATGTGTAGATGCCTAAGTAGCACGCTTTTAGTGCAAGGATGCACAGAAAGACCGGAGTAAAGAAAAACCACGAAAGTTTATCCCTGGAAGAGTGAAGAAGATAGGATGCATTCTCAAGGATAAATAGGAGCTCAGAGACATGTAGAAATGTTTTAGGGTATCCATTTGGTATTTTGACTCAGATTTTGAAATTTATCAGCAAAATTATGAATAAAGTGGAGATAAACAAGTGGACAATAAAACAGTAAATTGTTCCTATCTCTGTTACTATTAACCTAAGGTTTTCCTAATTCTGAATTTCTTTTAGGTGTGTCTTTACCCTGTTAGACTTCTTAGAGTAAATGAAGTAACTTTCCCCTGAGAGAAAGTAAATGTGGAATTTAGTGTCTGGCAAAGATTGCTCTGACCTTGACATGGTGTCAAGTCTCCCTGGTGAGGAGGACAGTGACCCAGAGGAGGTTAGGAAGTCTGATGACACATGTAATCTTTGTTATATATGAAGCTTTCTAAAAGCTAAATACAACTTTTACTTTTAAAGTAACAAGTTCTTATTGGTGGTTGGAAATGCATATTTTTTTTCAAATTAACATAATTCTTTGGTATAGGGTTTTGAAATATTTAGTTTTAATAGCATTAGCATTCTAAAAACAGTTCATTTATTTGGAATGGGGAGTTTGTTTTTACTACTCGGGTTTCTACTGTTTGCTCCTAGTGTTCAGTGCTATCATTTAAGAATAACCGCTTCTCATCGGCTGTGAACCTTCCAGTTTCCCAAGATCATGGGTCAGGACTGCTGATTTGTGAGGTGCAGTAAAACTATGTCATATGAAGAGAACCAGACCCAGGGCCAAAGATAACAGTGCTATGTGGCTGCTCTGGGGCCAGTGGAGATTTTGTTTTACAAGACGTGTCCGTGTTTGGTCAGTAAAACCAGAGCGGAAGGTGAATGAAAGAGCATTACGTTAAAGACATGGAAGGGCGCGCCAAAGGGACGTGGAGTTTGTACAACCTTCCAGGTGGGAGAAGGGGCAGAACATTGGGGCTGACGCAGAGCCAGCAGCCACAGCCTCAGTTCCCCGTCTGTGGACCCAGGACCCAGGCCTCAGGTGCCACTCTAGAGCCTTCTGCTGTAAACACTGCAACTGATACAAGTCTTCCCCCTCCCTCCCTCCCTCCTCCTCCCTTCCCCCCTCCGACTCTCATTTCCTTTTTTATTCTGAAAGTCCAGGCCAACTCTACAAATTTCAGATAATCCACAAAGTAAGATAACTGTGAGGTCGCAGCCAGCCTGGGCTGCGCAGTGAGTAGCTTTCCAGCTGAGGCTACAAAGCGAAGCCCTGTCTCAGAGCAAAGCGCTGGCTCCATGGGTAAAGGAGCTGCTGCTGTCCAGGCTGCTGACCCGAGTCCCTTCCCTGGCTGGTTGTCCTCTGACCTCCTCACGCACACACGGTGGCACTTTTGTGCCCACACACATGTACACACAAATAAACAAAATGTTATCAAATGAGAAGAAGCCCAAACACAGACTAATTCCAGTCTTTCCTAGGTAAGCTTAGACGTCAGATCAAAGCATGTAAACGTTTCTTGAGACTTTGTGTATCAAATTTGGAGGTCCGTCGGGCATATTCTAGACAATATAAGTTCAACACAAAAATCCTTTGGTTGGCTCCTGAGTCTTGTGTGGCCACAGAGGCCGCTGTGAGGGGAGTCCCTGAGCTGCACACTCCTAGTGACTGTCTCTCCTTCTCTAAAACATGTTAAGACTTTCAGAAGGGTGGGTGCTATGTGTGTGCGTCCGCCAGCCTCTCGGAAGTAAACTTCTTCAGCATGGCCAAACAAACAACAGCTCGAACTGGGTAAATGAGACAGTAAATTAAAAAAAAAAATACTCTATTTGAACAAAGCCCACTAAACAGGTGTTTACACCAGTTATACATTGGGCTAGAGATTACTACTGCTCCACTCATTTGAGGAAGACCAGAAAGTAGTGGGGTCTGAGAGACTCACATTGTTTTGAGTTATGCTCAAATGCCCCTCGTTTGCAGAGCTGATGTCTGCCAGGTTCCCAGTAGAGAGAACTGAGAGCGTTCAAAGTCAAATGAATGGCCCGGCCCTTTTACAGGAGTAAGTGAAAAGGGGAAAGGAAGGAAGGGGGGAGGGAGAGAGGGAGGGAGGGAGGGAGGGAGGGAGGAAGGAAGGAAGGAAGGAAGGAAGGAAGGAAGGAAGGAAGGAAGGAAGGAAGGAGAGCGGGAAAAGGAGGAGGCTTGCAGGTGAGGAAGCATAGTAAAACCAGACCTCCCATTTAAAGTCTGCTATACATCCCTTAACGCCTGTTTATACACTTAGCTATATAGGTATATGCTTTCTTCTAAAATCTCAGCCTTGATCCTTATTAAATGGTTTTGAGTCGAAAAATACTTGGCATAAAATAGGGAACAAATGGTCAATGTCTCAAAGGGCCATATGAAATGAAAACATTTATTAGGAGCACAAACAGGATGAGGCGGGTCCTATTCTCATTCATCCAGAGCGAACTGCTGTGCTGTACTAATGGGAGTTGGTGGGTGCAGGTGACAGTGTACACTGAAGTGACATCTGATACTGCCTCTAATGGCCGCTTGATTGGCTTTCCAGGTTCCTACTGAAGAAACTAAAGAATTGTTGCCATTATCAAGTTCAGTCAGCTTGCTCACCCTTGTCTGTATGTGCCCACACAACTCAAACATTGGCTGGAATATGGAAGGTTTGCACTCCTCAGTCTCTCTCAAGGAATTGAAAGAATATAGGAGACGGGTATCTTACCCCCAGAAAGTCTGTTTTCTGTGGAGAATTGTCCAAGCATGACATGGGGAAAGGGCAGTGCCAAGCAGACCTCACCCAGTGCGGTGGGAGGTCTCAGTTAAACCCAAGGATTGCATAGACAGGCAAGAGCACGTGCTGGGGAGCCTTCTAAGGTCCTGTTTCAGGGGGATGCTCAGCAGGCTCCCCTTTTCTTACCTCCAGGAGAGATGTAGAAACAGTTGAGTTGAGCTTCGCGTACCACCTTGCCCTTGAACTTCCCCTCCGTTTCCTCAGACTGGTGACTGGAAAGCGGCTGGTATGGGGGGGTGGACGGCTGAACAAAGGCTCGAATCATTGTGACTTGCAGTTGGCTACTAGCCGCTACTTTCACGACTAAACAATTATCCCACTTGTAATTTTCCCCCTGTACTTTTTAAAAACTCAGAACCAACTTCTGTGGCCACCTTGGAGGGCCATAAAAGCTCACAGGGCCCTAGCGCTCTGCTGTGAACTCCGGCTGCAACTTTCAGGTTTGGGATTCTGAAAGCGCGCCTCCTCTCGCGGTTCTCTGCGGCCTCGGTCTGCCTGTGCCGCTGCCTTCAGACCTGTGCAGAGACAAGCCCTTCCCCGGTGGAGCCCTTGGATGGAAGTGTGAGGCAAATGGCTTCTGTCAGCCTGTCAGCTCATCACCTCCTGAAGGCCTGACGAGTCCTGGCCTTTGTGTATCACCACGAGCTGTCTGGCACAGCCTCTTGTGTGGAAGGGTGATAGGCCTGGTGGGGGTGGAGGCCTGGGCCCACGATGCGGAGAACTGGAGCTGGAATGTGCGCTTCCATGGATGCACAGTGCCGCTGAGCTGCAAAACTATTTTAAGGAGAAGAAAGCACAGGCCCAGTCCTCTATCTTGGTGCTCCTTTTAGTAGCCAGGAATGCTGGGAAATTTGTGTTTTATCATCCCCTCCCCTATGTTCAAGCTAAACGTTAACTGGGTAAAGACAGTTTTTCAGATGATCCCAGTTGAATGGTAAAAACCATTTGCACTAAATAACAACCCCGGTATTTCCCTCATTCCACTTTAACATTTGAGGGTTTTCTGTTGTGTTTCTGCCCTAAACCTGTGTGTCAGCATCTCATGCTAATGAAGATGTCAGAAGGCTTTTGTTCGTGCCAGCAGTTTCCCTGGCATCCTGCCCTTAATGGAACTGTAGTTCTGTATGTCAGATGTCACACAAGAGGAAGAATGGCACCTGGAATGCATGTTAGTATAGTTTCCCAAGAAGACACACATTGCCACCTTCTCTGCCACCGGGCTTTAGTTTCTGATTGCACGTGAGTTTCTGACTTGCCATTTTGGAAAATTTAGTCCCCCAAAAAGGAAAGATTTCACTGTGGTCAGATGGTTCAAATGGTCCACCGCACCTGTTGTAACTGAGACGGAGAAGTCAGCTTCATGGGACTCAGTGCAATCCATGTAGATTCCTCACTGGCTGAGTGCCAGTGATCCATGTAGCATGTAGATTCCTCACGGGCTGACTGCTAGTGATCCGTGTAGAATCCTCGTGGGCCGAGTGCCAGTGACCCGTGTAGATTCCTCACGGACTGAGTGTCAGTGGTCCAGCCTGACCTTCCAAGAACAAGAGGACAGGAGTCTTTAGGGAGTGGGGAGTGACTTCTGGTAGGTGGGAAGTAGCCTTAAATCTCAGTTTCCAGAATAACATTTAATCTTGATGCTAAGGTCTTACTTTAATGTGAAAGCACTGGGACATTGAATTGAGAACATGGATGTTCTCGGTTTTCCTAGATTTGTCATAGTGCTGTGGATGGATGTGTGTGCGTCTCCATTGCAGAGAGTGACCTGGTTGAAAAAGCCTAGGGTTCCATCCTCATTTGCCCCTTCCACATGTAGGTATCTGAGGTCAAGATTCTGCACACACACACACCTTTTAAAAGGATTCTGCATGTACTTGATCAGTTCAGAAATGAAGTTTAAAGCCTCAGTGCTGACTTTGGCAAGTCGGTGATTGCATTCATAAAGCTTCTTTTTGATACCTGCATAAACTAGCTTTAAACAGACATTTCCTGTGCTGTTGGATATTTGTATCAGTGCTGTCCTAAGGGAGAAAGCTCGTGTCTGGGCACTGGTGAGATAAATGAGCAAAAAAAAAAAAAAAAAAGTGTTCTTAGACTATCATTGCGGCGAACTCCCTGACCAGCAGGAAGGAACACCACCAGACGAGGATTCTTCCCAAATCACACTTTATTGGAGCTGCGACTGCCTATATAGGGACTAGGGGAACGTGCAGGCCTCCTATTGGTCAAAGTGTCTCAGCAGCCATTCCAAGCTCCCTGATAGGTCCGGCACACTGAGGACACTGAGCATGCCCGAGATGGTGGTACTGGCTATGGAATTGTTTATCCCAAGCCTGCAGGGGCCCGGCGCCATCTTGTAATGACAGATGCACGTACTGGCTCCCTGCAATCATAGCTATCTTTAAATAAAATATAACTAAATGCTTTGAAAGTTTAAATTTTTTTGTTTTCCTTTAAAATACTTTTTTTGCTAATTTTCATTGCTCTATCATGATATTTTTGCTGCTATTTCCAGTGAAGTTTTTTAATGGCCATGTAGTTTGCCTATTATTTATATGATTATTTGCCTATAAGACCAGGATCTCAACTAGATATTTACAAGTGTGCCCTGCAACTGTGTTAGCCTCCACCACAAAAACGATGGCGCTATATACATACTAAATTTAATAGACAACTTCTGTGGAAAATAATGAATCATTTGCAGTCATGCTGCGTTTCTGTTCACTGCTGAATGACCACACCACAGCCATACCTAACTTTCCAACATTTGCAGATTTTTTTGCATGGCCATTTTAAAATGAAATTTATTTTTAAAATATATTTTTCTAGTTCCCTATCCTAATAACTCACTGCCAATTTTTCAGTTAACATATTCTTTAAAGACGGAGAGGGAAGGAGATTTCTAGGCATAATTTGAGCATCAGGTTTCTGAATATTTAAAAATAAAGATGAAATGTGTTTGTGAAATGTGCAAATGGAATATAGAAACAATGAAGTCTCAAAGCCAAGAAGTTTAGAAATCCTGATCTCGTTTTCAATCTGTAGCCACTGTGTAAGCAGCGCTTACCAACCGCCTGTCGAGCCAGGGGCTGCACGTTAGGGAAGCAGGCTTCAGTGTGGGCACAGACTCACCGGCCTTCCAGGACAGATGCTTTTCTTTTTGACATGGAACTCCAGTGACTGGTTTCATTTGTTTAATAATAAATTGAATGAATTATAATAGCTAATTATATATTTTGCTCTAAGACAGAAAGGGAACTTCATCGTGTGACTGTGAAGATGCTTATGGCTTGTTCCATGGGTTCTTTTTTTCCAGTGTCCATTTATGGAATTTGGTTTTATGATAAGGAAGAGTGCCAAAGAATTGCAAAATTGATGAAAAAGTAAGTATTAAAAGGCCAAGTGTTTCCTGGTACCCAGAGCTTTGACTCATTTCTAAGTATGTGAAGCAACACTAACTTTACCAGGAAGTGTTGCTCAGCCATCATCTTCAACATGATCCCCCAAACACTGGACACTGCTTGCTATTCTAGGCCCACCATCTGCCTAAGGTGCCTGATTATTCTTCCCCGCGTGCTTAGTTCCATGTGGAGGTTTCCTATGGCGTTTTCTTCAATTGTCACTAGGTAGTATTTTCTATGGATGTGTCCAGCCATAAAAAGAACATTCAGAGTCATCCTGAAAGGCTGCCCCCAAGCTTTTAATGCCCTCCGCTTCCTTCCTGCTCTTTAACAGCTTCCTAAACTGTGTTTGTAATTCAGAATCCCCAGTGCCTCAAAGACCAAGTTCTCATCTCTGGGAAAGTCAGAATCCGTGTTAGTTTAGTAATCAGTACACAATTTCTTCAACCTCCTCTTTCTCTCCCTCCCTCGCTCCCTCCCTCTCCCCCTACCCCTTCCCACCCCTTATTTGTCTCTTCCTCACATGCTGGTTCTGAGACTCTCCTACATCCTATCTGACTTTCCTACTCTTGGCTTCCCTAGTTTGCATGTAAAGGAGACCCAGGGTGAGACTGGTGGACTGACCAGTTATGGACTTGGCCGCTCAGTTTTGCCACTGTTTATGCAAATGGCCAAGAGCCTTAGAATGAAGTGAGTTTTTGCAGCTGGGTGTCTGCCTAGTGCAGCTGATCCCCCACATGAGTGTGGTGCTCTGTCTGCAAAGAACTAGAATCCACTCCTAAATCCAGGGGCACTGAAATGGAAAGATGACCCCTCCCCACTGAGATGAAAAGATGACCCTCCCCGCCCCCAACCAAGAAACTGAAAACCAGGGAACACATTCTTACAAATAAAATTGACTTGTGAAATTCTTGCTTGTGAGAGCTAATTTTAGGCAACCAGCTCAAGTCCCAGATGGTGATTAAGTGTGCTCAAACTGGTATTTACCACCATAACAACTAGTTCCTTAAACATTTCATGTTGTTGTAAATTGTTCAAGGGATAATAATAGCAGGATTTCATATGGATTAAAAAATACCCTGTCGCCCAGCCAAGAGGTCACGGTAAGCTGGTAGCATTTGTAGTGACTGCCTACCAGCTCAGGCTGGAAAATGATTGATTTTTACCAGCAATGAGCAGTTGATTCGTGAGGACTCAGATCCCTTCTCTGGTTAGAATAAACTCTCCCGGTAGCTTCCCAGGTTTGACTTTACCATTAACTTCATGGCTTTAGCAAAAGAATTGGAGCTGAAATTCAAAGCAAGCAAAGAGGAGGGTTTTGGTTTTGGTTTGTTGTTTTGTTTATGTTTTCCTGCAGCACATAAGACCATGTGGTCAGTGTTAGCATGGGACCTTTGTGGTACCTCCAAATTACCAGAGAACTGCAAGATGCGAGGTGGTCCAGTCCACCTTGCTTGACCTCCAGGTATTTGGGGAGGAAGAGAATCTGTGCCGTGCTGGTCATCCCTGCTGAATGTTTGTTTCTAGTAAGCTTTCTCTCACGGTCAGTGGCAGCTCCGCTACCACAGCGTGGAAGCAGCTGTGACTCTATGTCCCACAGTGAGCAGTCTGTGTTTGCCGTTCTCTTCACAGAAGCAGGTGGGGCAGGCTGTCACCCCCAGTCATCCTGGATTTGCCTATGTGGCCAGTTGACTCAAGACCTCATCTCTCATTCTCTGTTCAAAAGCCTGAGCAGCCCTTCTGAGATGGCTCCGCTGGGATGAGAGCACTTGGGAGAGAGCTGGAGTGAGAGCGTTGGTTTGGACTTCAGTTTCCTCATCTTCATTTCCCTTGCTGTTCCAGCCTCACTCAGTGCGAACAGCTGAAGGCCTGTCATGGTGCTGGAGCAGGGTCCTCCCCAGTGAGCCTGAGTTCAGGAGAGGGTAGAGAAGTGGATATCTTACAGATGCTCACGAAGGCCAAGGATGAGTACACAAAGGTGGGTGTCTGTTCTTCCCTGCGGTCATACTTCACCACAGCGACAAGACCGTCACTGACAAAGACTCAAGGCTCTGCGAAAGCCAACTGGGGAGATCGAGAGGTTCACTTTTAGTAGGGCTGTAGACTGTTTTCTACAGTAAAATAAAAGATAGCCCAAGAAGTCGACAGCCTCCACACAAGCAAATCGTATTCAGTTAGAGGACTTAATACATTTACAGTAGCAACATGTAAACAAGTCATGTCTTCATTGGTGGGGCAGGCCCAGAATCCCACAATCTGGAAGCTGAAGCAGGGGGACGGTGAGTTTCCAGCCAGCCTGGACTACAAAGTGAGATTTATCTCAAAACCTCAAAGCATGTGCCCCAGCAACGTGGCTCGGTGGACAGTGAACCTGCTACCAAGCCCTATGACCTGAGTTTGATCCTTGGGACCAACATGATGGAAGGAGAAAACTGACTTCCACAAGTTGTCCTCTGACCTTCACATATGCGCTGTGGTTACCCTCCCCCATGAATAAATGAAAGGTAATCAAAACAAAAGGCATAAAAGTAGACGAGCAGACGGACGTATCTGCCCTGTTGCTAGCTAAGGATTAAGAGGATTGAATGTGGGGGCTGGAGAGGTGGCTCAGTGGTTAAGAGCACTGGCTGCTTTCCCAGAGGACCCGGGTTCAATTCCCAGAGCCCACATGACAGGTCACGGCTGTCTGTAACTCCAGTTCCAGGGGTTCTGACACCTTTGCACCAATGCACATAAAATAAAATTAAATAAATAAAAATAAAAAAATTAAAAATAAAGATTGAATTAAAGCTGTCAGTTCTCTTAAGTCCAAGGTGATTTCTAAATAAGTGCCACTGTTTTCTTCTCCTTTTCCAGGACCAGGTGAACTGGTAGAAAGGGGAAAATAGGCAAGAAAGACTAGCGGGGAATTGGGAGAGGGGTGCTGTAAAAACCAGCAGTATTGACTGGAGATAAAGTAGGGGGTCATGAAGCAGCTGTACTTGATGCTAAAAATTGGTTATGAAAATTTAGGATACTGTGGATTGTTAGAATTGAACATGTAGGATACTGTAGACGGTTGGTATTTATACATAGTACCAGCTAGACAAACAGGAAAGCTGAAGTACAGAATTCAAACTGTGCCTCAAACCACAGCCCAAGAAAAATCTCAAATGTGCAAGAAAATTCAGGTTCCAGAAGAAAACTTACTTGGAACTTTTTGCAATCTAGGAAAAAAGAATTATTTTTAACTGTGCCTTAAAGCTTAAAACCAATTCATTTCAACAATATAAAAAATTAATATGTTGAAAGTTTTTTAAAAATATATAAAAACAACAACAACAAAACAAAAGGCTGGGCAGTAGTGGTGCACACCTTTAATCCCAGCACTCGGGAGGCAGAGGCAGGTGGATCTCTGTGAGTTTGAGGCCAGCCTGGTCTACAAACCGAGTTCCAGGACAGCCAGAGCTGTTAAACAGAGAAACCCTGTCTCCAAAGACAAAAATAGAACAAAACAAACAAGTAAAATGAAATGTAACAAATGGGAAGAAATATTGACACCTAAAAACTAAGAAGTGGGTTAAGTCCCCTTAAAATTGAAACATGAAAGATTAACACTTTCTAGAGAAATAAAATAAAATTGAGAAAAAAAATCTTAGAATTTGGAAGATGTTAGGAATATTTCCTAACTGAGCCTCTCTGAGGGCACAAAGAACTCCAGCCAAACCAGATAAGACCGAATCAAAAATGCCCATGTTTAATGAATGCCACACTCTTGGGTGGCTGGGAGCATGGGGGAAATGATGGGACAGGCGGGAGAGCACGTGCAAAACCCGAAACCACGTGTTTTTCTCTGTGTGGCTGCCTAAATGCCCTCTGGGAGTGGTCACAGTTCACGTGTGGAGGTCAGAGGACAGCTTTTGGAAATCAGTTCCCACTTTCTGTCTTGTAGGTTGTGAGTTCTAGAAAGGAACTCAGGTCATTGAAGGTTCAGGAACTGAACTGAGGTTCTGGTCCCCTTTTCTCACTAGCTGTCTCATAGGCCTCACACTGGTAATATTCCGTTTACATTCTTCTTGTTATGTGAACTCCTGGGCTCTCTGGGCTTTCTATAACATGGTCTTTGTGGTGTTCTATAAGGACTTAGAATGAACATCTGCTTCCTGAAAGTGTCTCCCTGCCTCTCCTCTCCTTCCCCACCCACCCAAACAAGATCAGACTTTCAAGGTTATTTTCAAATCCTATCTGTCACGTGGGTAGTGCCCGACCTAACCAGCTAGACATAGTTGGTTCTCTGCTTAGCATCGACCACGTTAGAAGCCCCCTCCCGTCGGTGCTGCCACTGCTCATACATGTGGGCATGTGGGCACACACAGACAATGTGCAGACCATCGGAAGAATGGGTCTGGTCTGTAGAAGTGGAGAATGGAAACACTAGTAAGAACACAGGATTTTTCCCTCAGAATTCTTCTTGTGAAAGGTGTCTCCATTTTTGGACATGTTAAGGAAGACATAGTGGAGATGTTATGAAGGAATTTCATGTCTCTTGGTAAGGCTTACATGAAAACTTCTGAGATCCCTTCTGTCTCTGGAGCTTGCTGGGGAATTCAGTCTTATTTTTAAATTAAGCTTTTTGATTTAATTGAAAAGTAAAATTTGTATAAATTAAGGCATGCAACATGATGTTTTGATGTATATATGCATTGTGGGATGGCTAAATCAAGCTTACATACATAGCATTTTTGCGGTGAGAAAACTTAAAACCTCCTCTCAGCCTAGAAGAGTTGTGCTCTTCCAGATTCCACACGTAAGTGACGGCATTGCTATTTGTCTTTCTCTGCTGGCTTGACTTCACTTAACATAGCTTGTCCACGTGATCACAAATGGCAAGACTCCTTTTTCCTTTTTTGAAAATTGAATTGTGTATATGTGTGTGTGTGTGTGTGTGTGAGAGAGAGAGAGAGAGAGAGAGAGAGAGAGAGAGAGAGAGAGAGAGAGGTTTCATTTACCCATTGATCTGTTGACACACATTTAATTGATCCATGTCTTGGCTGGATGCTGCAATGAACAAGGAAGTACAGATGTCTCTTGGACATTGCATTTTCAGTGCCCAGAAGTGGAGTTTGTTAGGCCTTCTGGTGTGTGTGTGTGGAGAGAGAGAGAGAGAGAGAGAGAGAGAGAGAGAGAGAGAGAGAGAGAGAGAAACCAGGATTCCCTTTGCTGCACAGCCACACCAACACTTGATTATCTTCTGACTTTTTAAAATTAGTTTTATGTGTGTGCCCTTAGAAGTCAGATCTCCTGGAGCTAGGGGTATGGGTAGTTTGTGAATGCTGGGATCCAAACCTGTGTCCTCTGGGACAGCAACGAGCGCTTTTAACTTTGAGCCATGTCTCCAGCCCCTCTTTGAGCTTATGCATTCTACCTGGGATGACGTGAGGTCTCATTGTAACTTTGATTAGCATTTCCCTGTGATTAGGGTCGTCATTTTGAGTTCAGACCAGGCTGTGTAGTAAAACCCTGTCTCAAAAAAAGGGGAGGAGAAAAGATCTAAGGAATGATGTACAATGGGAGGCAAAGTTACCTCAGCGCGAAAGAAAGGTAGGGGAAAGTCAGTTTTCTCCGTTTAAAATAGACAGTCTGCAGAATTAACACCATCGTCTTGTAAATGGCAAGAGGGGCTAGCACTTTGTGAGTCAGTGTCTTTGTGTTCTTGCCTTGATTTGCCTGCCCTGCTCCTAGGAAAACAGCAGTTGACCCACCCATGCAGCGAAACCCCCATCACTGTCGCTCACTTGAGAAGAACGTAAAAATAACATTGTATGACTTGAAAACAATTCCACACTCCATTCGATCCTAATGCCCAATGGCCAGAGAATTGACGGAACTCTGAAAAATGTAGGTAGACTTTTGTGTGACTGATCTACAAGACAGGTGCACATAGTGGCACCCAACCCCAGACATGTGCCCTCGAACAAAAGGATGTGCTCCAATAGCTGGAAAACCCCTTGGTGCCTGTCACTCCTGCTTTGGCAGACATGGCTGCTGCTGTTTTCAGGTGTGAGGCAGCTGAAGCAAACACTACAGAGTCTGTAGCATAGAAGGTCCTGTTGTATTGATTTATTTGATGTTTTAACAAAATAAACTGCAACATTATTGCCAGGCTCTTTTGTTATGAGTCCTACTATTAAGCAATAGCACTGCTGGTCAGATTACCAGGTGATAATGAGTCAGTATTTGAAATGATGAGGCTTCTCTCATCTGTTTGTGCAATTCTAATTTGTAGTTCGTGGCTCAGAACACTTCATCTAAATTATTCTGTTTATGCAAGAAGCCATCTAGGAAATAAAGATGGTGTTAGCAGTTTTTTTATTGTTATTAAATTTATTTATTTATTTATTAAAGATTTCTGCCTCCTCCCCGCCACTGCCTCCCATTTCCCTCCCCCTACCCCCATTAACTCCCCCTCCCCCGATCAAGTCCCCCCTCCTCATCTGCCCAAAGCGCAATCAGGGTTCCCTGAACTGTGGGAAGTCCGAGGACCACCCACCTCAATCCAGCTCTAGTAAGGTGAGCATCCAAACTGCCTAGGCTACCACAAAGCCAGTACGTGCAGTAGGATCAAAAACCCATTGCCATTGTTCTTGAGGTCTCAGTAGTCCTCATTGTCCGCTATGTTCAGCGAGTCCGGTTTTATCCCAGGCTTTTTCAGACCCGGGCCAGCTGGCCTTGGTGAGTTCCCGTTTAAATTAGCAACTTGGGACAGCATTTCTTGTGGCCCATACAGGTTTAAATGCTTGGGTTAAACATTTGTAGCAGCTCCCTGTACTCTACTCTCTATTATTTCTGTGATTTCTCACTATGGAAACCTATTAGGCTGGTTGTCTTAAAACTTCTTCTTAAGCAAACATAGCCTTCCAACTGTCCAAGAGCGTGTGAGTCCTCAGCGCTTACTGACGTTAGTGCTCGTATTTTAGGGCAATGAATTACACACACACACACACACACACACACACACACACACACACATTTGTAGTTGACTTCTACTCAAATATAGTCAAATATAGTTCCCATCAGAAAAGTAGAAGAGATTATCCTTCATGCATCTACCAATTAGATAAGCAAGAAAGGGGGTAAGAACACTAAAGCTTCTTTTATTTCCATCACAAATGAAATGTTTGTGTCCTTTCTATTCCAGTGTAAGAGTTGTTCTGAGCCAAAACAGATGACCAGCTCTTCTGCCATCTGTGACAACCCCAAGCTTATCAAGCCTGTGCCTGTGAGACCCAGTAGCAGCCAGAGGCTGCAAGAGCCCCTACCCAACAAGGTATGAGGCTTCTGCTTTTTGTTTCCTTGTTTGTTTGTTTGTTTGTTTTTTAAACATATTTTTCATTTTGGGAATTAAAATATAATTGTATCATTTCCCCCTTTCCTCCCTCTAACCCTTCCCTTGTAAACTCTCTTTGCCTTCTCTGAAATTCATGGCCTCTGTTTAATTCCTAAATATTATATATTCCTACATATATAAGTACAACCTGTTCAGTCCAGGTCATTTATTATATATATGCATATAATGTTACTCATATATACATGTTTTCACGGCTGACTATTTGGTATTAGATAACTAATTGGTGTGTTCTTTCCTGGAGGGGAGACAATTTCTCCTGCTCCCAGCATTTCTTAGCTCGTAGTCTAAGAGGGAGACCCCTGAGGTCACCCTTGCACGTCAGCTCGTTGTCTAAGAGGGAGACCCCTGAGGTCACCCCTGCACGTCAGCTCTTTGTCTAAGAGGGAGACCCCTGAGGTCGCCCCCTGCACGTCAGCTCTTTGTCTAAGAGGGAGACCCCGAGGTCGCCCCCTCCACGTCAGCTCTTTGTCTAAGAGGGAGACCCCCGAGGTCGCACCCCTGTACATCAGCTCTTTGTCTAAGAGGGAGACCCCAAGGTCGCCCCCTCCACGTCAGCTCTTTGTCTAAGAGGGAGACCCCTGAGGTCGCACCCCTGTACATCAGCTCTTTGTCTAGGAGGGAGACCCCGAGGTCGCCCCCTCCACGTCAGCTCTGTTGCTATCATACCACTGTTCACGAGAGTTAGGAAATGGAGACAGCTAAATGTCCTTCAGCTGACTCATGGATAATGAAAATGTGGTGCGTGTACATGATGGAATACTGTTCAGCTGTAAAACTCTGAAATCATGAAAAATTTTGGTAAAATGTTTAAAACTGGAAAAGCTAATATTGAGTGAGTAACCCAGACCCAGAATGACAGACGTTACATGTTCTCTCATCTGAGGCTCCTAGTCTCCCAATCTGGGTATATAACCTGGAGTAACTACAGAAACCAGGGAAACCCTGTGCTTATCTGGGGCCCCTCTGGGAGTCTCAGAGAGCTTTTCCCACATACTGCAGGGGAGGGCCTGGCGTTGCTGAAGGACACCCAAGGTCAGTGGACAAGGACAGAGTCTTGTTGCATTTTGGGTCTGAACTGTGGGGCACGGGTGCTCTTCCTCAGGGACTGTTGAATCTACCACATGCTGGGCTTGTGGCTCGTGAGCTGAGTGAGACTCCTTAGATCATATATTATTAAAACACGTTTCTGAAGAGACAGATGCATAAACCTCTGGGTCCGTATTCTGGGCTAGGTGGCTTCTTGGGCACTGGAGGAGCAGCCACCATGGCAGCGCTATCAAATGTAGCCTGTCTGAGCACTACACTGCACCAGCGATGCCAGCATGGGTGTGCAGCATGGCGTGTCTACTCTGCATTAGCTTGGGCCTGGGAGTAGACAAAGCCCCCCAGGCCTGAGGCGGTATGTGAGTTCTGTGCTATTCAGAACAGGATAGCTGAGACAAAATCTGCTGATGAGCAGGGCCCATTGTTGCCTGTGAAGAAAAGGTGTCTGTTCTTCCATCGTTACTCCTGCGTAAAGAGGTGGTTTGCAAGGAATTGGTTTAAATCATTTCTGAAAATGAGCATGAGCCAAAGACATAAAATGGCTTGACTAAATCTTGTTTTGAATTTTTCAAGAAAGAAGTATTTCCTAACTTATTTTAGCTTTCCGTTACTTTCCATGAGAATTTATTTCATTTTAGTAGTTAAACCAAGCTTGTACTTTGACTTTAGAGCGGAGCTTCTGTTTTTAGGCAGAAGGTGTGGAAGGAGGACCAGCTCCGGGGCAGGAGGGCAGGAGTGGAGGAGTGGCCAGGCATTGTACACATCTAGTCCTGTGCATTAGATTAAAATCCTCATTTCTTTCTAGCCTTAGCTCTCTACAGTTCTGTGGAAAGCGACCAGGAGTCCAGAGCTCTTACCATCTGCTTGTCTCTAGTACCTTTTGTTCTCAGCGAGCCTAGATGGACCCTGGCTGTAGAGATGACTGTAGAGATTGCACATGTAGCGTGTGCAGTCTTGGGCTATACAGTGTCATTTGTCCCCTAATCTGTGAGCTGCAGACCCCTCAAGAACACATGCATGTCTTATCAAGTGAGCAGAAACTGGTGTAACGGCAGCCTTGGGGGCCAGGAGGGGAGAGTGCTGTGCAGATATTAAACATTTCAGAGGTCTCAGGCTTTTCGAGTTAATAAGTTGCACCTCTGTCATTGATCCTTTGTAAACGGAAGAAACCATCAGTTAGCCGAGTTATGCTTCACAGTCTCCCGCTCCCATAACCAAAGTATGTGAGCCTATTTTTGGATATCTTTTTCTTCCCCCCAGACCTCGGACCCTGAGCCCCAACACTTATCTTTGACAGCTCTGTTTGGGAAACAAGACAAAGCTCCCTGTCACGAAACTCTGAAATCTTCCCAGACCTTCGTCCACCACCATCACCACCACCTCCACCACCACCAGCATCAGCAGCAAGAACAGCTTCTAGTTCATCAAGGAGTCGCATGTTCCCTGCCCTATGAAGAGCCCAGAAAGCTCTCACTCCCAGTGGAGAAGCAGCTATGCCCAGCCATTCAGAAACTCATGGTCGGGAGCACAAGGCTGCACCTGCTGCCACAGCACCCTGAACAGTGGCTCTGTGAAAGTGGCAGCCCCAGTCGTGTGGGGGGAGTTCCTCCCTGTCCTGTCCAGCTGGGGTCCCCCTGGAACGGTAGGACTGCCTGCTGTGCACAGAGCACTGCCCGCTGTGCCCAGAGCACTTGCAGAAACCACAAGCTACTAGAGCAGCTTCAAGGAGCCTCTGGGGCAGCGCACAAGTGTAAGCCCTGTGCACCTGCCAGGCTGTCTGCAGCCACTCAGGTGACTCCGGGCCAAAATGCAGCCCCGTCACAGCTGGTGTACTTCGGCGGCCCCCTTCCTCCTCCCACACCAGGACATGAAGCTCTCAGGAAGGAGCAGTGTGCACTCCCAGCACACGCGCTGCCCTTCTCTGGCAGCCAGAAGAGCAGCCCCAGTGTGCTCCCCACTCAGGAGCTGCTGAGAAAGCTCCAGGCCGTACATCAGGAGCAGCAGCTCCAGGCGGTCCCCCGGCCAGCCTTAGCAGCCAGGTTTCCCGTGTCAGCCCAGGGCTCAGGGACAGAAAAGCCCTTGGAAGCCTGGGCCAGCAAGACATCCAGCATGGAGAAACAGGCTCCTTCTCTGCAGGTAAGTATGTTCTGGAAGATCGCTGCCATAGTAATGCAGTGGGCTTTGCTCTGCTATGGGGAGCGTTTCCATTGAGAACAGCTACCCACAGCCCCCTCGGTGTGTCTCTCTGTCTTTCACCTTGCCTGGAAAGAGAAGCTTCTCTCCTCTTACAGTCTGGTGTCCTCTGCCATTTAGAGGTGGTTGTAAAGTTCAATCTTTGCCATGTCATGAGCCCTGAAGCCCAGCCCAGATGTGACTATGACGACCCATGGCAGTTGGCGCTAACATTTTGGGATGGAAACACCTGACTGATTTTGTTTGCATCCTATAGTTGATTTTTGCTTGCTCTTTGACTCGTTGCATGATTCTGAGTGCTTCTACATACATGTTAGTCGCCACTTTACTACGCAGTAGTAGAGACAGCGGACTCCGCATCCAGCAGCCACGACCTTGCAGGTCCCTGAAGTAAACAACATAGCAGTAAAGGTGTTGCTGTTTTTATCACCTTCTAGGTGATCAGTATTGTGAAGACCAGGCAGAAACAAGTGTACCACCCACAAACTGCCAGAGAAGGGAACACAGTGTCATTTCTAGAAATAGCGTGTCTTTCTGGGAGGATAGTGGTCTGTACCCGTCAGCACCTGGGACAGTCAAGAACCAGAAGCCAGGGTCTATTGATCATCAGCCTATAGTGGCATCTGAGGGTCTGACCAGCTCTGTTTCCCTTGGGTTGGCACAGAGTCCCTGAAAACGTGCTGACTTTAAAGATCAGAAAGTTATCCCTACTTATTATATATGTGTGTGTGTGTGTTTATGTAAGTATATATCTATACATACATATATAAAAGACCAACAGTGTGCCATGTATACATATTATATACACACATATAATATGTATATATACATAATGTATATATGTCACACTGTTGGTCTTTTTGATATGTTTTATCACATAGTAGCTCCTCAAAAATTATTCACATTTTTTTAAACAAAGGCCCATGGCACAAACCATGTATGTTTGGGTGTGTGAACCAGGTCAAGGCATTCATCTTTATGAAATCCCAGATGCAGGTACTTTCTGTTGCACACTGAGGCTTTGTCCTCACTCTCAGTGCACCGCAGGGTGTTGGCCCCTTTTAAATGGCTGCTTTCATTTCTCTTCAGTGATTTAAAATAAGAAAACTGGGGCTAATAATCAGACTTAAATTTCTGCATATACAATTCTTTGTTTTTAGTTCTCACAAATGTCAGGAACCAAATAAGGAGTGTGTGCATTCTGCCAGCCCACGCTGTGCTCCTCCCTCTGGGAGCATCAGCTCTCAACACCTCTCCTTGGGATAGCAAATAGGGAACGCTAAAAGAAACAAGAGCCTGTCTTCCTCTGGGCCGTTTTCTGCCCCCAAAGATGCCAAGGGAGTGATGATAAAATTACAGCCACGTCTAAATTGCTGCCTCTCTGCTTCCTTCTCATGAGTGTTGGAGTGCTTGGAGGCTGAGAAATAAGGTACTTTCTGTCACCTGAGTTAGAGACACATGGTAGCTGTAGGAGTCAGTCAGACCCAGTTCAGAATGTCACTTGCATAATTGGGAAAGCCATTAGAAAACTTAGTTTTAGACCTGCCAGCCAAGGGAATTAGATAGATTCAGCAGACAGATGGGTCATGGTGCTCCAGGTTCCATGTGCCTGTGCCTTGCTCCTCATCCCATGATCTAGCCCCTCATCTTCGCCCTTTCCCTGTCCCCATCCTTACGCTAGCCAGGAGAAGCAGAAGGCATGCTCTCTGTAGATACACAGAGAAGGACCAGAGGGGGCAAACCCATAAGTCACAGCTCCTCCTAGTCCCAGGGGAGGTGTCTCCTTGAAGAGCTAGGGTTGGGAGCTGTGTGTGCATCTGACAAGCACATGCTGCCACTCCCACAGGTGAGGGGACCTCAGAGGGCAAGGCAGTGGACAGCAGGTGCCCAGCAAAGCCGGCAATCCTAAATGCATGTTACCTGAAAATGAAACTCTCACCAGGTGTCTAGCTTCATACACAGAGGTCATGGCATCACAGGGGGTTCCAGGGTTGTCTAGTAGCCACTGAGGATGGAACAGGAACAGATCTGTCCACCGTTCCCACCCACGGGATGCGGGATGGTTCCAACCAAGCACTCCTCTGCCGCCATTGTGAACAGGGTCTTTTATCATTGGAGCTCCACTTTGTGGGTTGTTTCCTAACCCTGTCTTGTGTGCATGTCTTTGCTGTAAGCAGATTACCTCAGCTCAGTGTGTCCCTGCTCCAGTGACTTCTCTGCTGATGCCCCCTGTGGTTTTCACACAGTCCACCTGTGCCCCACTGAGGGAGACTGAATCCGGGCTCATGCCCCTAGGAGGCCAAGAACTTCCTGCTGCCTCCTCCAGCCTCCTTCTGCCCCTACAAAACTGGGAATCCTCCACCGTGGCCAGCAGGCCCCTCACCAGGCTGCAGCTCCAGGAGGCACTGCTGAACCTCATCCAGGTAAGGCTGTTAACCTAACAGTGGGCCCCATGACAGACTAAGTTGGCTGATGCCTTCTTTGGACGTCATAAAAGTAACCCCCACACACACACCAACACCTTCTAAACTGTTAACTGATGGTATTTAGAATACTACTTGGGGTATGATATGTGTCAAGACTTCAAGAGATTTGTGACTTGCAGGAACAAGTCAGGCCTCCTAGCTACCAGCTGCAGAAGAGAAGGGAGCATGTGATGGATGCCTGGCCCGCCAGGGTACTCTGGGAGCTCACTGTTGGGAGCAAGCTCAGAGCCATCTTGGACAAGCTGCAGATATAAGCTGCACCATCTACGACTGCTGTGAACATAGCTCAGCTATGGTTTTGAAACCCACTGCTCACAAGAGGATGGAATGATAGAACACCTTATCAGCCCCACCTTGGGTGTCTCTGCTAATACAGTGATAGGAACTCATACCCACCTGTGGGCCATGCACTATTTAAGCTTAATAATTCACTCAGTGCCTACAGGAAACCCTATTAATATGGGCCAATGAGATCAGGTAAAGGTACTTGCCACCAAGCCTGATGACTCCGCTAATGGAAGAAGAGAGAATGTTGTCTTTTGACCACATGACCACATGCCTCCACACATAGCCCACCACACATATGTACACATACACACAGAATAAGTAAGTATAAAAAATTTAGACCGTCATATTTGATTCTACAGACAAGGAAACTGAGGCTTATGTTGGTCTGGTGTTACCCTGAGCCCGCTTGCAGTGTTCACGTCAACTGTTGTGTGGACCATAAAAATTAATGTTCCGAGAGTAGACCAGCATGTAACGGAGCACGCTTCCGAGTGAACGATAGGCCTTGGAAAGGGTCGTGTCTGAGCCTCACAGAAGCAGACACCTCAGCTAATGTATTTCGGAATCTTCTTCGCGTGGGCAGTCTTGAAAGTGCAGTGTTCATGGCCGGGCGGCTGCCTGAGGGCAGGCTAGCCGCTGTGGTGTCTGCTTCTGTTGATGTCTAATCCCCATGAGTGAAAACATTTTTAAAATAGTCTTTTAGAGGGAACCCAAAGGACAGTGCCAGAAGGAAGCATCCGAGTCTGGCAGCAGAATGGCAGCCTAGTGTGAGCCCTCCTAACCTAAGTGTGTTACTCATCCTAAACACACGCCACGATAGCAGTATGGCCCACCTGCTCACAATAAGTTCATGAGAATTATAGAGCCAATATCTGCACTTTATTTACTGGAACAGTAAGGGAAAACCTAAACGTGTATTTAGATTTGAAAGATTCTTGCTTTTTCTGGCTCATCCCTGCCTGGTCACGTTACCCCAAAGCCATGTGTTGTGACTTAGACACGTCACACTTCTCCTTGTTGTGGATACTGTCTTTCTGATATTGCTAAAATGTCACTTGGGTGTCTTTGTAGGAAAAGCAGAAATAACATCTCCTTCTTCATGGTGTGAGTGTGTCTGGGGAGGGAGGAGACCGGGAAGGGGGGTGTAGGGCTGCAGAAGCTTCCACGGACTTGAGTGGGCGGGGGCGCCTCTAGAGTTAACCAAGAGAACCATTGCTTAGACCCAGGGTTCTCTCCCTGCCTCAGTGAAACAGCAAGCTCAGAGACTATCTGCTGCTGTGCGTTTACCAAAGCCAGAGACTTGCCACAAGTCATGGGAACAGCCATACTGCCTTTGGGAAGGTACCAATGAGCCATGCTGTGAGTAAAATCCCCATGAATGCGCAAAACTGCACAGACATGGGGGCACCCCGGAGGAATTTTAGGAAGGACCAGCCCCCTCCTAAGCTGTTGCCAAGGCATTATGACTCATCCCTCCTGGCCCATCTGCACACAGCACAGCTGGCTTCCGCATGGCGGGTTTGCTATCTGTGTCGGGTGTGATGAGCACATGGACTTCGCATGCGGACTGTAGAATTCAGCAGCTCTGTCCCAACCTTGCCTCCAGCCCCTTTCCATCCAAACGCATAGGCCAACCCTGCTGGCTGTCAGCACGGACAGCAGAGGTAAGGAAGGCACCGGACCCGTGGCCAGTTCAGCTCCAGGCAGGAAGCCTTGGCTCCTGCTGCTCAAGTGACAGTCCCCTGGGCCTGTTGGCTTTGTTTTTCAGAACGATGACAGCTTCTTAAGCATAATCTATGAGACCTATCTCTTCAGTGTGACACAAGCGGCCATGAGGAAAGCCACGTAACCAACTACAGGAGAGCCAAGACCGTGAGGGTGGACTCTATAGGTCCTTCCTGTGGACTGGTGGGACCAAACATGTTTCTGCCTTTTTAACAAAGTATAGTAATACAAAGTAAAATGTTTTTGTACTGTCAAATATCTTGGGGGGTTTTTTGTTCCTTGTATTTGAAGAATTCCATCTCTTCCTGTATATAAATTGAGCGGGTAGATGATTTGAGCTCAGTTCATATAAGCTTAAATTTTTCCTACATGTATAAGGCCATTTTAAAAAGAATTTGGGCTCTTCATAGGAGAGGATGTTCTCAGAGCCGTTTATTAATAGCTCAAGCGAAAGAGAGCAATTTCCTGGTGTTGGGCTCTGTGTGCCATGGTGCTCGATGACCACCAGGGGGCAATGTTACCCCACAAGTCATCTATCTACTAAGGGTTTCATGAGCTCTTAGAAGTCAACCTTTCATTTGTAAAGCTCCATTCGGTGGGTTTCGTCTGAGCCTTTGGAGAAAGAATCTTTCTGAGGGCGTTTCTGGCCAGTGTCTATCTAGGAGCTGTCACCAGTGGCCCAAGACATGAAGCAATGGTCACATTTCTCAATTCAGGATACTCCTTGAGGCCCAAACCGCTCTTGCTTTCAGACACTCAACTCACATTTAGAAACGGTGCTGAAGGGAGGTCGCATGAGAATAGGTAGTGACTATTTGTGGGCAGAAGGTCAACGATTCTCCGAGCTCTGTGGAGTCCTCTGCTGTGTCCTGTGCAGAGATAAGAAGCAGAAGAGCCTGGCAGTCCCCGAAGGGCGGGCGAGTGTGGAAATTGACCCCTGCTGAATATGCACAATGAATAAAGCTTCATGTCTTTACCGCCTTAGATATTCCTGGATTGTAAAAAGATCTTTGGGTTAGTGCTTCCTAGAAGAACCTTATTCTTTCTATGGAGAGTTTAAAATGGAGGCCAGGATGGGGGTGCAGGTTTCCTTCCAACTTCTGGATGCCCAGACCAGGACCAGAAGCCTTTGGGCTTTGTTCATCCGTCCTAGCAGCAGGGGACACGACCTGTCCTGTAGGAGGGTGGGCAGGCTTTCCCCTAAGGAAGAATGGCAGACTGAGGAGGAGCTGCCCTCTGTCTGGCCTCGCTGTGCTGTGCTTTGTCCCACATCTGCTGCGTCGGCCTCTGGAAGGGTTGCCTCCCTATGTCATCCCACACTGCTGGGAGCCCATAGAAATCTCGCAAACACTCGCCAGTAACTATACCTGCCGCCACAGTCTCATAAGGAGAAGGAAGCCAGAGAGACGTGTGTGCTTCTGTGGTCCTAAGTCAGTAAAAACAGCATCGCTTTGGTAACATGTCTACTAAAATTGGAGCAATATTAGGCTGGGAATATGACCCTATGGAGAGCACTTGCCTACATAAGGTTCTGGGCTCAATCCCTAGCACTTAAAGAAAACAAACAGAAAAAAAATGTGGCTTGGTGATAAACGTAAGCAAAATAAAATCATGGAGAACGTTTTAACATTCTATAATTGCATGTTTAAAGATGCTTCTGCAGCCAGAGAAAGATGAATTTCATTCCTAACATTTCTGATGTATTTGTGTCAATGAGTAGCTTTATTTTATGAAATTGTTTCACTTTCTTCACATGAATGAGTAAAACTGTAGCAGCAGCAGCAGCTGCTGTCCTTGGCAGAGCAAGCCAGGGTAGGAGGTCTTTTAGACCAATGCTACAGGCGTCTGTTTTGACAAAATGGTGAGTTCTCCATAGTCCATTGTTCTAAGTCAACTTAAAAGCAGCAAGCCAATTCCTTTAGACCAAAGATGGCCACCTGCAGGACAGTCAGGATGGGCGCTTCCCTCCTTACCTCAGCAGGCCACAGTTGCCTTCTACAGAGCCCCGTGGACAAAGGAAGAAACAGATCAGAATGGTTTTCTAGGCACCCAGGACTGCACTTCCCGTGTAAATTTCCTCTTCCTGTGCCACCTCCTGAACCCAAATTCAGCTTCCACTTCATGGTCTCTGCCCCGGCAGCTGTTTTGACCTCGTTGGATATCAGGTAGAGCCTGGAATGCTGTGGCTAAGGCAGCTTCATCCGGTGCGGTGGGTGTCACCTTGCAGAGCCAGGGGAGTCAGGTGGCCGGGAGTGGAAGGTGGAGCATGAGTGGAGTCCCTTGGCCCTGCCTTCAGCTCCTGGACAAGTCCCTTTATGAGACCCCTTATTCATGAATTAGACTGTCATGGTCCAGGGCTACGTGACAGTCATTGGGAGGGACCCACAGCTGCTGAGGGCGGGGGCTCCTATCATCGCCCTGACAGCATTACCTGAGGGCCACCTTGCTGTGTCCCCTACTTTACTGATGCGGTGGAAGCAGTCTTGTCCCTTCTTTATGAAGGAACTCATGAACTGCGGTGCTGATGTCACTGTATTCCTGTGTGCACCCCTGGCTTAAGTTAAGTTCCTGTCATTGTGACCGCAAGCCTGAAATGAATCCACTTGAAGGATAAATACTTTCCTTTAGGACACGGTTCCAAGGGTTTCAGTGTGTGGCCGGCTGGCTCTGTTGATGTGAGATCTCTTGATGAGAGGTAGAAAGCCAGGGTGGGACAAAGATTTTACCTGTGGCAGCCGGGAAGCAAAGAGGAAGAGGAGGTCTATGCTGGCCAGATCTGTGTCACCTTTACACAAGCTGGAGTCATCACAGAAGAGGAAACCCCAGTTCAGAAAAGGGCTCCCTAAGATAGGGCTGTAGGCAAGCCTGTAAGCCTGGGGGAGGGCCGAGCCCATTGTGGGTGGTGCCATCCCTGAGCTAGTGGTCTGGGTTCCGGAAGGAAGCAGGCTGAATGAGCCATGTGGAACAAGGCAGTAAGCAGCACCGAACCTCCCTTCTCCCCCCCCCCCCCCCCCCCCCCCCCCCCCCCCCCCCCCCCCCCCCCCCCCCCCCCCCCCGTGGCCTCTGCATCGGCTCCTGCCCCCAGATTCTGGCCCTGCTAGAGTTCCTGTCTTGGCTTTCTTCAGTGATGAGCTATGATGTAGAAATGTACACCAAATAAACTTTTTCCTCCCCAGCTTGCTTTTGGTCATGGTGTTTCTTCATAGTCATAGTAACATTAATTAAAACAGGGTCCCAGAAGTATCCCCTCCAAGGGCCTGCCTCCCAAGCCTCGTTTCCTTTCACCCTGTCCACTGCCTCCCAGGAATATCACATACTGGGGACCAAAGCCTTTAACACATAGGTCTTTGGGGGACACTTCAAATCAACACTGTGGCAAGCAGCATTTTACTTGCTAAGTCAGGGAAAGCAGTCAATAGTTGTGTAGGCCCCAAACATCCTAAAGACATACCGTTCTACCTCGCCACTTAGACAGGGAGAGAACCTGTGTTTGCATCTTCAAGAACTCTCTGGCATGATAACTAGCCCTGCTGCTTCTTGGCCACTTGCAACCAGCTCCAGCCCTGTCCAGAGCTAGACCTGTAGCTCCAAACAAGACCTCCCACCACCCATAAGGCTCTGGGAAAGTGTCGAAGAGCCAGAGACCAGAGTGAAAGGCTAGGAAATGCCACTGTGTGGACTGGATGGCTATTGCAGCCATTCCATCACAGCTATAGGTACCCACACTGGCCCACCCCAAGAGGTCCCTATCAGCAGGTCAAGGAAGGGGAGATGCTCATGGGGCCCCACCCTTTATCTCTGAAATACCAGCTGTGATTAATAGACTCTGGGAGAGGGGAACCACTTTAATCATCTTTAGATGTGAACCCATTGCTGAGCCCAACAGGTACTTCCAAATCCATGGGCACATAGGCAGCCCTGGGATGTCAGGGAGTCACAAGGCAAAATGAAGAGACCGTAACACAGATTTATTGGGAATAGGGTTGGCAGGAATGATAGAAAGTGGCAGTAAGAGTGGTGAGCGTGCAATGCACACATGTGTGAGATTGTTTAAAAACAAATTTAATTCATAAAAAAATAAAATAATAGCGCATAAAGTATAGAAAACTTAGCATTTAAAAAGAGAGTGAGAAAGGCCCAGGGCAAAGCCGCCCAGGCTGAAGGAACTCCCTAAGGACACAAGTTGTTGGTGTCATTCTGCTTTGAGGCCCAGGGACAATTTCCTCTTGAGCAAGATTGGTATGAATGGGAACCAGTATACCTCTCCTCCAGAAACCCCAGCCCTGAGCATCTTAGCCTATCCTGTTCCCTCATGGGTATTAAAGAAAACCCACCGGTTTTGTATGGTTGGCTACTTCCCTGAGCCCTTTGTGTGGTGCTAAGGATGGAAAGTGTACATAAAAAAACGAAGCACTCAGCCCTGGGCCTTGCTGCCTTCAGCCATCAGCACAGAGAAGACAAGCCTGACTGGAGTGTTGGGGTGACGCAGACAATGGGGTCCCAGGCCGTGGGGACAAACCTGCTGCTCACACTTGCAGCCAAGAGCCCCTCCCCCTACCGATAACGTCTGCTTCATCAAGACAGGGCCTCTTTCCCTGTTTCGGAGGAGTCAGTTTGCTTCCCAGCTTTGGAGGGTTGAGTCACCGCTAAGGTTAATTTATCATTGGCAGCCAGCTGGTTGTAGCCTTGCTTTGTCATGTGAAGTTGGCTGGCTGCACGTATCGGGAAGCCTTTCCAGTGTGGTGCTGAATACTTGACTTGCAGATTGCAAACGCTTGGCACTCCCGAGCCTCTTACAATTAGGGAGCGAGAGGGGCGGTTACAGATTCTCGGTGTGTTTAACCCAACCTTGCTTATCCAGACAGATTTTTCACCAAATTTAGTTCTGAGTAACGTCTTCCAACAGCTTAGGGCTCCAAGAAAAGTACACAAATAAAAACCATGTGTGAAGACTGTGGTCTTAAACACCAACGGGGGGGGGGGGGGGATCAGCAGATCCCTGTTGGTAATGAATGGTCTCCAAGGGCCAGGCAGAAAGCATGGGGCGGGGGGGGGGGGCGGCGGGATACGCTGAGGCAGCTCTGAATGCAGCTTAGGCTGAGTCGCCAGAGCTACTGGAGATGGAAATGAATGGAACTCAAAGTCTGGCAAGTTGGTGAGGGACACGGCAGAACGGAAGTAAAGGGTGTGCGAAATAGGCAAGAGAAGGGGTTGTGAGCCAATGCCAACAGTTTTCCTCAGAAGTGTGAGGACCAAGAGTAGAGTCCTAAGTACTTATGAAAAAGCCAAGGTGGAGTCCCGCAGTCTTCCGGGGAGAGTCAGGAGACACTGGGGGTGACGAGAGCCCAGCTCTGCAGACACTGATCAACACAAGGCCAGTTCCTCTCTGTGGCCTGCCTAGCAAGTGAGCACACCTACCAGCCCTCAACAGGTCCAGCTCCTTCCAGAGACCTGCCCTGTCCTCCAACCATCTGTCTGGTGTACACAGCACATGGGCACCTACACCATTCCAGGGCTTGAGACCAAGCTGGCAGGTCTAAGATCTGGGCTGTCACGGGCTCCTTATCCCTTGATGCTGTGCCAAGGGCTGTACAGGGTGAGAATGACCTGGATTCCAGTTCCGCCTCGTCTCCTCCACCACGTGAGTACAAGAATTGCTGTCTTGGGAGCGGGGCAGTTTCCATGAGCCTAGAATTGACACTTAGCTTGAACCACACATGTTTACAGTGTGTACCCGTGATCCTGTTTACAGCAGTTCTGCAGAATGTGTACCACTAGGCCTCAAAGGGGAGGCATGGCCCGGCTCCTTGTTACCCAGAGTCTTCTCTTACAAATAGCTCGTGTGACAGCTTTGTATTTTCTGCCCATGACACTTTTCCAGACTCATGGGTTTCTTAAATTAATCCCCCACTATGTTCTTCCAGTGCTTCCAGAGTCAGAGAAAGGAGCCCCACACAATATCCACAGACAATGAAC